GGGGTCACAAATTGCTGTGATCAGCTGGCTCCCACTGGTGTGTATTTACCAAGCTATCAGGTTGAAACGCAACAGAAAATCACAGAGAGCACTTCCAGACCACAACTCAAATTCTTGGATTTTGGTTTTAGTTCCAGACAAATATGATCATTTTAAATACTCTTCGGGGGATCTAAGAATGTCTGAATTGGAGGAAATTTAGAAAACAGCTTGCAGGAAGGAACTGCATTTGTATTTATTTCTGTTATGAGGATCCTCTGTCTCTACTCAATCTAGGGGCTTTCAAGGAGAGAAAGGTTGAGCCAGGGCCCGGGAAGTACAAGTTAAGAGAGCATCTGAATCCCTACAAGCTGCCCTGAGTGGTGGGACTTACAGCGGAGTTTCCAGGAATGGCTTCACCATAGGTCCCTTCCTCCTGTCCCAACCACCAGAAGAAGAGCCAGCATGATTCATGAAACAGCTTTGAACTACCAATGAGGGTGATGCTCTGAGGTTCGGATCACTCTCTGTCCCTGGCAACTTAATTCACCCCCACCTCCAGTTCTACCTACTTTGGACAAGACTTCAGTGCACACCAGAGAACCCGGCAGGAAAATAAGACCCAACTACTACTCTATCAAGGGCTACACCTACCATAGGATAAGTAATTTGCATGGTTATAAAGTCAGGAGGAAGAGAAAAGTCTAGCTAGATAGGGAAATGGGCCCCTGGGTGACTTCCTGGGCAGCAAAGCACAAATAGCAGCTGCAGGTTTTTGCTGAGAAACTTGCAAAAAGGTTATTTTTAAATCGGGACATATGTGACTTGGAATTCGTAACCTCTCCAAAGAAGGAAAAATGCCTGATCAATATTTTGATTGGACTAAAGGCTGCATGAGTGCCTCATAAACACTGAATGCCTTACCCAGGATTGGACAGGAGGCCGACTTCCTTAAACCTAAAGATCCATACAAACCCCTGGACAACTGGCATCTCTCTCTTGGGACCCCTCTCTCCCTGGAAGCTCTGATTTCTTTCTGTTACTGTAATAAATTCTGTCATCTTGCTCTCATTTTTGTGTCCGTGGATTTCATTCTTCAAATTCATGAGACCAAGAACCCACTTGACAGCCACACTCTGTGTTACAAATAGAGACAGCATGTGTGACTCCCCCACCACAAACACTAGAATAGGCAGATTGGGGTGATCACAATCATCAAAGTCACTGGCCCCTGGTGATTTCTCTGAGGACTCTTCTTAGTATTCTCATTAGGCATAAAGTATGAGTTTGCATCTTTGAAAAATGAGTCAAAATCATCTTTCACAAAGAAACCCCTGAAAAGTCACCAAAACTATGATAAACAATAAATCTTCAAATGTGTGATTAAACAGAACTTAAAATGACCTCACTCTTAAGTTATGAGAGTGAATTTGAAGAATATGCCAAAAGAAATTAATAGTTTAATATTTAGGGCACTTCCCTTAAAAAACAGGCAGATGTAACTGCAAGAGAAATACAGCCACCACAATATTGCTCTTTTAAAAGAGCAGTGAAGAATTAAAAGGATGACAGTTAGTTAAAAATAACTGATTGGCTACATGTCCTTAATGCTTCTCTCTCCCAACACTCCACCATCAGGAATAAAAATTAATTAATTAATTAATTAATTAATTAATTTAAAAAAAGGTATAAACTCAAATCAAAGAGAATGAATGAAAGTGAGGCCATCAGAAGAGATGGGTTTCCTGTGCATTTATGGAGGAATAATAAATAGAGGCCCCGGATAAAGAAACTGCAGCATAGAGAGCCTCAATGTAGAAAGGGATCCTCCTGCCTCTCAAAATCCTAGAGGCTTGGAGTTAGAAATGCAAACCATTAAACAAAAAACAAAGAAAGAAAGAAATGCAAAACATGCTGGGCATGTCCCATGCCTATAATCCCAGCTATTGGGGAGGCTGAGGCAGGAAGATTCAAGTTCAAGGCCAGCCTGGACAACTTAGTGAAGTAAAATTTAAAAAGAACTGGAAATATAGCTCAGTGGCAGTGTGCTTGCAAAGCATATATGAGGCCCTGGGTTTGATCCCAGTCAAAGAAAAAAAAAAGCATAACACAGGGAAAAAAACTAGTTTAGGGCTGAAGCAGGGCAATTCATGGCCAGTCTCCACAGAAAGGTACAGTCCCCTCTGAATCCACCCAGAACAAGGGGCAGGCTGGCACTGGTACTGTGGTTTTCAGCACACTTGTAAAAAACTTGGTAGATCACCCATCTTATTTCTCCAGAGACATCTAGTTCTGTTTGAAATACACTCTATTTAAAGATTAGAACTAGAGGAGATGAGGGTTTGTGAAGACCTTGGAGCTTCCGCAGTGTCTGTACTGAGTTTTCTGGGTAAGGAAGGCGAAGGAAAAATAACTATCCATGGCTCCCCGGCTGCAGTTTGGACTTGCTCCCAGGCCTCCAGACTTTCAATATGCTGCACTTACCCTCAGAAGTACTGTGTGCACATGGGGGCGAGGACCCTCCCCTGTGACCATTCCCCAACCTCCAACAGGGCAGAGGTACCTTCTAAACGGTGAATGCACGTGTGCTGATTGTCACTCAGGAAAAAGCCCTCCTTGCAGCGGCACTCGTAGCTCCCCATGACGTTGACACAGGTGTGCTGGCAGCCGCCATTGTTCTCCAGGCACTCGTCCACATCTGGAGGGAGGGAGGGATTTGCCTTTGCTTTTGTGGCTGTTTCAAATACCCCACCCAGCCCAGCAGCTCAAGGACTCCTGCTAAGCAGAGATGAGGGCTTTTTTCCTTGTCCCTGCATCTCAGAAGCTCTCAGAATCAAAACTACAGGACTGCAGATGATTACCCAGCCTCATGTGTCTGGTACTCACTTAGCCAGGACCCTGGCTGATGAATAAATCAGTTCATTTATTCATCTCTGCTTAGATAATCAGTTCATTTACTGAACACCTTCACTTTCCAAAGCATGGTGCTAGATGAGTAAGATAAAATTTCTTCCTCTAGGAGCATGTCCTTCAGGAGAGGAAGAAAGACAAATAGACATCTGAGATAAGGCAAAAGGTGGTACAGAGGAAAGACAGGTCACATCTGATCGTGTGGGATCAGCACAGTTTTTAAGGAGAAACTGATAAAAAGAGGGCCTTAGAATTCCTTGCATTATAAATTAGGAGGAAAAGAGACTGCAGGCAGAAGAATGAATGTAAGTCCTGGCCCAGAGGCTGGGAAGCATGGAAGAACTCAGATACAGTGAGTCATTTGATTTGGCTGGAGCACAGGGAATGTGGAAGGAAGTCACAGGAGATACAGCTGGGAAGATAGATTGAGGTCACACTGCAGGATTTTGAATACCAGGCAAAGGAAGGCAGTTTTGAACCACTGGCGGGGGTGGGCACTTTGGGAAAAATAAGGCAGCAATTGAGGGTCAGATGCAGAGAAGGGAAAGAACTGATAGCTGGGAATCCACCTGCACACACAGACTGGGCAGCCATGGCCAGTGCTGTCCTAACTGGGGATAGACAGCAAACTGGGCCTGACCATGGTTTGCTAGCAAGGCAGGTGTAGAAGATTGTGGGTGGATAAGGTGCCTACAGGGCTGGAAGACTTGCAGGCTGTGAGTGGGGCATTGTTAGAGGATAAGAAGTTGATGCTGGGTCCTTCTAGAACACAAACATAGGCAAGACCAGTGCTGGGGACTGAAATGGGGATGGTGACATAGTTGCCCCCTTCATCCCTAGACAGGGAGAGGATGTGCCTGACATGTGACATGAGGGCTAGATCCAGCAGATGGGGGAAACCTGGAGGGTAAATGGGAAGAGAATCCAGGGCCATATGTACAGCCTTGGAAACCACTTACTTGCAGTTGCCAAAGTAGTGACTGTACACGAGAAAGCCAAGGGCAGGAATATGAAAGCAGAGAATCAGGCAGAAAGGAGACAGCAGCAGTCAAATTCTGGACAGCATCAAGGGCAGGAAGCAGGTAGAGGAGGGACAAGTAGCCTCAGAGGAAAGGCCAGGAATGCAGGGAGAAAGGAGGCCTCCCCAACCTGCTCCTGCATTCATACCCTGGATAGGCTTAGAGGCCTTTCTTCCCACTGTGGCCACAGCACCCTGTGCACCCCTCACCGAAACATTTACCCAGGTGCATCTTCAAGACCTTTTACCTATCCATCGCCACTAGACTGCAAACTCCTTGAGGACAAGATTTTTGTTTTAATTAACTCAGCCCTAGAACACAGCAGGTAGTCGTTAACTATCCATATAGGAGCATCACCAGAACCAAAGAAGAAAAAACTTCAAGAAGAGTCTCAGATGCCACAAAGACTCTTTGTGAAGAAGGCTGATTAGAAAGCAATTTAATCCTAGCTACTAGGGAGGCAGAATCCTGTGTCAAAAAAATAAATAAAAATGAAAAGAGCTGCAGAAAGAGCTCAATGGTAAAGTACCCCTGGGTTCCATCTCCAATACAGAGGGGCAAAAAAACAGTTTATTTTCTTCAGTCTAATTTCTCATATGCCTATCACTAGCTCCTGGGCATATCTGTAACCAGAAAATTCACATTTAAATGTCTGTTATCTGGTTTCAAGCCTCAGATCTTACAGGCATCTGTCCTCCCACACTACGAAGCAGATGCCTGACTAAACTGATGGGACTTGAGCCATCCCCTAAAGCCTAACAAACTCACCCTTGTCTATGCCAAAGGGTGAAGGAAGCACATTCCAGAGGATGAGCCGAGCTGAGACACACCTGGCCTTGGTGTTCCACATGGAGGACTCAAAGTGAGCAGGAGAGCTGTTTCCCTCAGCACCACATCCAGGATTAAATGTGCCCACTTCACACTTAACCCACTGTTTTTTCTCCAAAGCAATCAGAACTGTGTCATTGAGTGTCACACCATGATTAGATAAACACAACAGTGTGTTTTCACATACACAAATAAATATCATCAGGCCTGTGAGCTTCTCCAGACTACGAGACAGGGGTTCTAAGCCTTGCCCTCATGTTAGCACCCAGATTGCTGTACTCCTCCTCCAGAGACACACATAGAACTGGGTTTGGGTGAGGCCAATGCAATAGCAATGGTTAAAGGTGATTTTTCAAGTGAGGTGAGGACTGAGAACTGCTGCTATGAAGCCAAATGGCTACGATGAGCTCCCAGGCGCTCTATCAACTCAGAACTCAGGCAGGGTGGGCTGCATTCATTTCTCAGGCTTGTGGGCATTCAGGATCTCAGAACCCCTGGGTTTGGTGCCAGTACTCTAGACTCTGGCTAATACATTTGTGGCTAATGTATGGCTAGGGGGCTGATGAGAAGGAAGGGGTCCTCACAGGAACCTGCCATTCCCAAAGAGTTTGGGTCCTGACCTTCTTTTCCTGCCACAAACTGCACTGACCCTTTCTGGTCTGAGTGGCAGTCGCTATGTATACTGGTCCCACTCTTCCAAATGGACTTCATCTTCTCATGCCTTCCTTTTAAAGAATCCTTAGCCCCTGCAGACATGCTTAGTGGATGTTCAGGGTCTCTCTGTAAGGCAGATGTTTGTCACCAAGTTCACAAAAGAGACCCGAGGAGGAGAAATGGAAATACCCTGATGAAATACCCTACTATGTTACTGGCCAAGGCAAAGCAAGAATCCAGGCCTCAGGATTTCTGAGCAGGCCTGTACTTAGAACCATCCCACCTGCCCTGGCCCAGGTCCTGAAGCCTTGGATGGGTCAGCTTTTTGCTCTTAGGAAGCTCACATTTTCCCGAAGGCTGTGGATCAGAGCATAACCATAATGACTGGGTCTGCCATCAGATATGAATCCTCAGAATGCCACTGTTGGCAAATCAAAGGGAAATCTCCCCGCTGAAAATGGAAAACAAAGCAAACAAAAAACCCATACTGTAAGTCTCCCAACAGAAAAAGAACTTCCCCTTTTCAGAGTTTTTAATTCATTGCAATTCATTCCTGTCTCAGGACTGTCTCTTTAATGTGTCTTTTTTGACACTGACTGCCTAGAAAGTTTGCAGAGAGGTGGTTGATTCCCTGGTCTTCAATCAAATCTTACTGACACTTCAGGCTTTCAAGGCTGTGTACCCAAAGCCTGGCCTCTCCCATAGGGCACAGATAGCAAAGGACAGAATCTAAGTGAGAATGGAGCTACAGAAGATACTGAAATGGGATAAAGGTCACATCTGGGTTGCATCCCAAATGGAAATACTCTCTACCCCACTCCAGAACTCCACCACTCAAAACACAACTTCTGCCTAAGGCCTTTTTTTTCTCTTTCTTTTCATTTCTTTCTTTATTTTTTTGAAGAATGTACCAGAGGCACTTAACCACTGAGCTATATATCCTCAGCCCTTTTTTATATTTTATTTAGAAATAGGGTCTCTCTGAGTTGCTTAGGGTCTTACTATATTGCCGAGGCTGGCTTTGAACTCATGATCCTCCCACTTCAGCTTCCCAAAGTGCTGGGATTACAGGCATGGGCCACTACACCCAGCTTTCCTAAGCCCTTTAATGCTGATCTCAAAGCATTTGATCAAGTGACCATTCCCTACAAACCACTAAGGGACATCTAAATAGCTGTTCCCAGAGTCAGAGCCTGGCTCAAGTTACTTCTTGGTTGACTTTATAGAAATAAGCAGGGCAAACACATGAAGGGTCATCAGTGTCAAAGGACCCTGATGCCATTTGTCTCCCGTAATGACCCCCTGTATAGTTGGTAATGCCAGCCTTAAAAAGCAAACCACAGAGCTAGGTTTGTGGCTCAGTGATAGAGCGCTCGCCTCAAACGTGCAAGACCCTGGGTTCGATCCTCAGCACCACATAAAAATAAATAAATAAATAAAGGTATTGTGTCCAACTACAACTAAAAAAAAATAAATTAAAAAAAAAAAGCAAACCACAGCTGGGCGTGGTGGTACATGCCTGTAATCCCAGAGGCTATGGAGCCTGAGGTAGGAGTATCTCGAGTTCAAAGCAGCAAAAGTGAGACACTAAGCAACTCAGGGAGACCCTGTCGATAAATAAAATACAAAATTGGACTGGGGATGTGACTCAGTGGTCAAGTGCCCCTGAGTCAATCCCTGGTACCCCCCACCCTGCAAAAAGCAAAGTACAAACACCTACCTGGCAGGTGTGCTGAGTCCTCAAAGACTTCCCAGCACTCAGCCCCATCCAACTGCTCACTATTTCTAAGTTCCATTTTATTTCTGGTATAAGGAATTGATGTAAACAACACTCTGCAGTCTCTAATTCAAGGACTGAAACTCCAACAGATGTTTCTGTTTTGTGGACTACTAAGAGGATGTTCCTGGAAAGTTTCTGTTTGATTTTTCTTTCTCTTTCAAAAAAAAAGAAGGGGGTCTATCCGGCTGTGACCCAAGCCAATATTAAAGTCTTCAGGGCTAATTTCAGAATAATGACACTTAAAACATTGAAGAAATGGCTATAAGTCAGGATCTTTTCAACACAAAATCAAAGATCTTAAAGGTGACAAATCAATGACAGATAATCAGTAAATAATAATGACAATGTCTACCCATCTCCTTGGACTGATGGGTCTATGTTATAGATAAATCATGTACCTGATTTTCTCTTAGGGAGTCTGAATTTTTTTTAGTGGGGGCAGAGTGCAGGGGACAGTACTGGGGATTGAACCCAGGGAAGCTGTACCACTGAACACCATCCCCAGAC